TGAAGTGGAACGAGCTGCTCAAAGCAACCCCCAGTCTGTAACATCAGATGAACTTGAAACACAGGCTGAAGTGGAACGAGCTGCTCAAAGCAACCCCCAGTCTGTAACATCAAATGACATTGAAGCATTGTTGCGGAATCAGTTTGGCCACAATGACCAGAGTCCAGTTTACAGTACCATTACAAAACTCTGCGTCGTGATAGGATTTGCAGTTTTTTCTTTCATGGTCCATTACGTGCTGAGGGTTATCTTTACAGAATGAAGTCGGCCAAAAAATTAAAACGACAGTCTATTGCACTGCTGTGTTGTGATCGGATGGAAAACTCGTCACTTATTGTTTTCATCCCCATTTTCTTTCCAGACTTTGTGTCTAATATTTAATTTTTAACTTGTGTTCTCATTTCCGTCTCATAAAGAGTATGTACAATTTGCCTTGCAGGCCTGAAATTTCTGGTGAAAGAAAAGATTAAAGGCGTGTACTTAGTAGAGTTCATGGACTGGATGAAATACAAAATATTACTTCCTATACAAGCATATGACAGGTATATTCAGAAACATTTATAAATAATTTTCGGTTTCAGGAAATTCATCTGTTACTGCTTTGCTGATTGAAGTAATTTAATAAGAACACCATAACCTTATGATCATACATTCTATCTGCAGAATGTGACTTGCTACATAATTTCTGATGACTTTTAAATATTACGAAGTGAAAGTATTTATTCTTATTGATGCTTATCTCCTGCTTTGTTTGCCAAAGTTATGTTCTATGTTTAATTTAATGTGAAAACTCCAGTTTCTTTTCCTTTTGTTTTCAATGTTACTATCACAAAATATGTGAACAGGGCTGGAACCTACTATTTTGTAGAATAAATTACTGTACATACAGAAGAGGTATTACTTCCTTTCCACAAATGTTCCCAGTTGTTTAGTTTAACAAACATAAAATGGACAGGTTTTTTGGCAAATATTTATTTTGTAGCGAGTAATGCAAGGGTTTATAATACAGTAATAAAGACTAATGTAAGTACTGCAATGAGATCTGAAGGATCAGGTTTTTAAAAATTATTTGGAAGATAATGCAAATAATATTAAATCTGGACTTCTTTATCCTCAAATAGTTGCTATTTGTACTGTACTTTTTCCCATCCCTACTACTTCCAACTCATCAAGCAACCGAATAGTAGAAGGTGTACACCTCTCGATGGTGCAAGATGAAAAGACGTCTAGAATAACCACCAGGACATTGCAAGTCTTAAGATTACAGTCGTGGATTATACAGTAGAAAAGGTATAATTTGTCCATCACCACATTCAGATTTTTGACGTAAATACGTCTATACGAAAGGGTCATTCGGAAAAAACAGCTTTAGGAAAATGTGTTAGATCCA